GCTGAAAACGCACAGCTGAGGCTGAAAACGCACAGCTGGGCCTGTAAACGCACAGTTAAGGCTGAAAACGCACAGCTGGAGCTGAAAACGCACAGCTGGAGCTGAAAACGCACAGCTGGAGCTGAAAACGCACAGCTGGAGCTGAAAACGCACAGCTGGAGCTGAAAACGCACAGCTGGAGCTGAAAACGCACAGCTGGAGCTGAAAACGCACAGCTGGAGCTGAAAACGCACAGCTGGGGCTGAAAACGCACAGTTGGAGCTGAAAACGCACAGCTGGGCCTGTAAACGCACAGTTAAGGCTGAAAACGCACAGCTGGAGCTGAAAACGCACAGTTGAGGCTGAAAACGCACAGCTGGGCCCGTAAACGCACAGTTGGCCTGTTTCAGGCTAAAAACGCACAGTTGAGCCCATAAACGCACAGTTGTCCTGTTTAAAGGCTGAAAACGCACAGTTGTGCTGTTTTAGAGATTAACTCTGCGTTTAGATGTTGAAAACGCAGAGTTGAGCCTGTTAACGGCTGAAAACGCACAGTTGTGCTATTTTAGAGATTAACTCTGCGTTTTGATGTTGAAAACGCAGAGTTAAGCCTGGGCGTTTTGAGTTTAGAACGCGGGAACGACCTCTGCGTTTTGAATCTTGGATGCAGAGGTGAGCCTTAGGTGGGCTCGGCGAGCTTCAGGCTAAGTTCGATGTTCTGACGAAGTCCAGTCTTGCAGACGGACTTCAGAACATAACTTGCTACGAAGAACAGGTCATAACTTTCAAACCGTACGTCGGAATTGGACGAATTACATATGAAAATCGGCTATCTCGACGAGACAGGGCCATCCGAACCAAGCCAAAGGCTTTGGTTCGCTTCCTCCGTTTTGCCAAATTCCTTACGGTTTGAGAGATATCTGCATTCTAATATGAAGAGACCGTCAATTTGTAGTCTCTTTTGCTAGAGCTTTGCACAGATCGTCCTCTTGTAATCTTCGTCTTGGCTCCTTGAAAATATGAGAGTCATCAGATTGTAACTCCCGATGTTGATTGTGAAGGCTGTTGAATTGGGGCTTTCATTAGTTGTTGTGAAGGTCGTCAGATTGTAGCCTTCTATGTGAAAGTCCTCAAATTGTAGCCTTCTGGAAGTCGTCAGATTGTAACTTCGATCATCGGTATTTGATGGGGGATCAACTATCTATTGTGATTTTTAGACAGCCTACACTGGCACAGGCTCCCGAAACGGAACAGTCTGTTACGGTGAGAACTCACCAACTCTTCGTGCCAATTCACGATGAGGATGACAAGGAAGGGGACGTTCAAGAGGTATATTCAACTCAACTCGAGCTTGAACCCCGAGATTAGCGTCTCCCTATCATCGATTATGTCTTGCATGGAATCTTACCAGAAGATGTAAAAGAAAGGGATTCAATCCGACGAAGAGCAGCGAGATTCTACTATAACACGGAGAGTCGAACGCTATATCGCAGGGGGTACGATGGTTTGCTACTACGCTGTTTATCCATTAAAGAGGCAAAGGAAGTCCTCAAGGAAGCACACGAAGGGGTTTGTGGCGCACACCAACCCGATCCTAAACTTTATGACCGCATCAGAAGAATGGGATACTTCTGGCCCTTTATAATGAGCGACGCAATCACATATGCCCGAAAATGTCATGAGTGTCAAATACACGCAAATTATATGCACCAACCGCTGGAGTATTTACATCCTCCGGTCACATCATGGCCATTTGAGACTTGGGGAATGGACATCGTCGGTCCTGTAAATCCCCCGTCAATCAAAGGTGACCGATTCATCTTAGCAATTACTGACTACTTCTCCAAATGGGCTGAAGCGGTCCCACTCAGAGAAGTTAAGACAAGCAACGTCATCGCATTCATCAAACACCATATTATCTACCGGCATGGTGTCCCAAGACGAATCATACATGACAACGGTCCTTAATTTGTCAGCAACGCCTTTATCAGGTTTTGCGAGAAGTTCAAAATTCAGGACGTCTCCTCAACAGCTTACAATCCCACAACGAATGGATTGGCTGAAGCTTTCAATAAGACTATCATAAAACTGTTGTCAAAACTCGTAAAGACCAATAAACGAGATTGGGATGACAAGCTCGGCGCGGCCCTATGGGCCTATCGTACCACAGTGCGTACACCTACGGGAGCAACCCCGTATTCTTTAGTGTACGGATGTGAATCCGTCCTTCCGCTAGAGATACAAATTCCGTCTCTTCGAATCGCTCTCGCAACCCAGATGACGACCGAAGAACAACATCAGAAACGTCTCGAAGAACTCGAGATGCTTGATGAAAAATGCTTAGAAGCTCAACAGCATATTGAGTTCTACCAAGCCAGAATTTCTCGAGCTTTCGTCAAGAAGGTTCGACACCAGAGTTTTAAAGAAGGAGATTTGGTCTTAACTGAAAGACGGCCTATGATCCTCAACTCCAAGAAGAAGGGTAAATTTGAACCCAAATGGGAGGGGCCATTTGTAGTATAGACAGTCTACTCGAGTGGCGCATATCGCCTGGTCACCAAGGATGGCGACCGGCTTATGATGCCAATAAATGGCAAGTTTCTGAAGAAGTACTACCTTTAGTACACTTAGAGCAAATTATTAAACGGGAAGTTCCTGGAGAATACCATGTACGATATTCTTAAGGATAACCCAACCAGCTGTTCTCTAAACAATTTAAGTTTGGTCATAGAGAACCCCTGCTGTAATCTTCTAAACACTCTCTTGTTGAGATGAGATTTGATTACTCTTTAGAATCAATCTTTCCTCACGAAAGAATTCTCAGTGCCCCCTCACTGTCAGATCAGTTCACGATAAGCCTAACAAAGTTCCTTGGGCTAGCTCTGACTTCCACTATGATTTGTATTCACGTTCCCACTTTCAGGTTGCCTTCTACTTTTTTTTTCGATGAACGAAGGCCTTCACTCCACCTGAACGACCAAACCTATAAAAGTTAGGGTCGTCTCAATATCCCCTTTTGGTCCAACTGACAAGTCACTCTGACCAGAATCGGATTTCTCTTCGATAAACGAAAACATTTCATGTCTGTCCCTCCAGCCAAACCTATAAAAGTTAGTGTTGGAGTTTGAATTTCATCTTGATAAACAAGAAAACTTATTTCCAGATCAGATAACCTAGACTATAAAAGTTGGGGTTAACTGAATCCTCTCGATTCTCAGGATGGAGATCCCATTCTTAGTTTCATCTCACCGATTCTTGAAGTGGAGATCCCACTTTTAGTTTCTTCTGCATACCAAGGATAGAATATAAAATTCTGCTTCTTTGGTATCGGGTTCACTTCTCCCTCAAAAGAAGGACCGAAGAAAGAATATAAAATTCATCCTCTTCAGTATCTGGTTCGTCTTTTGTCCTATAAAAAGATGCTACATTTTAATAACTTTATAATCCATTCCTACGGGTCTGGGGAATTTTATCCCG